AGCATCTAATTATTTTGTCAGAAATGCCTCTATTCTGGAAGGTGGCTTTGACTCTAACATAAGAAGGACTTGAGAAATGAAAAGGACAAAGTTCCCTCAGGAGCCAGATAATGACAAAACTTATTTGAGAAACATCATCGGGGATAAAAAGAGGAGGCTGATTATGGCGATGTAAGTGCACCAGGGAGGCCAGATAACTATTATTTCAATGGTTTGTATTGGACAGGAGCACCTCACAATGTACAAGCACTTCCTGAATTTAAATGTCCCCACTGGATTACTTTCTCCTTGTTAGGAACTACATGCTGACTTAAACCGTTTGCAAAACAAACAGGTTTGCAGTTTAAAGTCCAAGTGGGAAAGAAATCCCACCTTGTCAAGGCAATTGACTTTAGGGAGATTTTTTCTAGATTGATAATTGCCATGGGCATCCATTATTTGTCGTCACTTACAGAGTATTGGAAAGATTATTACTCGATATCAATATATATTTACATTGGAATGATAACTCTTAGATGCCAACTTGTGATTCTGCTGAAGCAGATACACTTTACCTGACCAACTTAGGCCGTTTCTTGCAAGCTTAACAGGCAATCTGTCTCACTATTATAACCCCAATAGCAGGCAGGCAATGGAAGAAGCAAGGATCAAGTATAAGGGGTACACTTCTCTCAAACAGTATATGCTAATGAAATCCATTAAACTTCTAATGAAAAGGTGGTGTAAAGCTGATAGTTCTTCAGGATACTAGGGTAACTTTGACATAAACACTAGACATCATCAGGGAGGGAGGGTTTGTTTATTCTGTTGTTAGTTGCCTCTGCCTAGAGGTCAAGAGAAAGTAGTAAAAAGACCAAATGCCTCACAAACTTTTCCGTTAAGTGGTGCTAAACTGTGGAGCTCACTTTCTTAAAACATTTGACCATGCTAATTTTTACTTTCATTTAAAACCAACTTTAACCAAACATAGCTAAATCAGAGTACAGATATAGTGATTAGATAATCACTTTGTCTTTTAGTACTTTTGATGTGCTTATTAAAATGCAGTCATTTAGATTTTAGCTTTTTTCATTTTTGCCTTTAAATACTGTCTTAATGTCTTATTCTAGGCCACCTTTTCTTAATTATGAATATGCCTCCACCTGGAACTGAGAAATCTTTTAACAGCAACTTGGCAACAAATGGCCAAAGAAGGGCTACTTGTCAAACACTGGTTGTGTCACCATGTGTAGGCCCCTAAGCCAAGGATGTAAACAGTGTAAGCCTCACAACCACATGGATTAGACTTTTCTGGGATATCAGGCATGGTTATTGCCAAGCTTAAGCCTGAATGTTAGACTAAGCAAGGATGACTTACTGCAGAAGTGCCTACATGGCAAGAAACAGAATCAAAACAGATCTTTGACCGAGATGGTGGAAGTCATCCACTGAAATTAGGACTGTATGAGGCAGTTTCTCATTTCAAAATTGGCTCAGTTGTTGTTGTTGAGCTTTTTCATGCCCTTGACATTCCTCCTTGCAAATATACTTAAGAGGGTTACAGACTTTAAGATCTGTGCAGAGTAGATGTTGCACAACATTAAAACAAGTACCAAGAGGAAGGAAGAAAAACATGATCAAAATAAGCAAAATAAAGGTGTGATCTATGGTCCTGGTCAGTTCGGAACAGTTTCATTTATGGCATTTTATGCAGTAAGGTTGCTTTACAGACAATGTTTCTTTGTTTACTCAACATGAAATTACAGACGAACAGTTCTTTGAGCTGAAAAAAATTTCTGAGAACATCATACATTAGTACAAAGCTAGTCAAGATGTTTCAAAGTTAGATTACACATGAAATGATAGTTTCCTCAATAACCAAGTGTTGAAGACTTTGATTCCAAAAAAGGACTGTGTAGAAGGTGTTCAAGAAATTGTACAAAAAAATGAAGACAGTTCCTTATAACTGTTGTTGTTGTCACATAAAATGCAACCTAATGACATTATTTGCCAAAATATCTTTGTCTGCAATTAGTAGTTATTGTAAGTGTTTTATAATTCAATAGCAGACTGGTTCTTGGCTCTCGAGTTCCGTAATCATTCCGAAGGATTTTGAGAGTGTGTTGGTGTTTATTTTTTTGGTGTTTTGTTCGACCACAAGGTACGGAGGAGTGAAAATATTACAACCAGAAGAGGTGATGTGAACCGTAGAGAAATTACCTGAAGACACAGCTCTGACTATGAGAGAAGTCCAAACACTATTTTCTCTTTCTAAAGACACCATCATGTACAACTTCTACATGTACACTTGAGACCATTGCTAGCACCTCTCTGCTCACAAACAAAGGCAACTAGTTTCTGCTATTAGGGTTCTCTGCCACTGCCTCAACATTCAAATTCAATGAGATAATAATAACAAAAAGGAATAGTCATAAATATTATTATAAGAAATAACCACCCAAATTGAATTTTGACTTCTTTGTTGCTCACCATTCCTTACCAACACCTTTTGAAAGATTCAAAAAGCCCTCCAAGCATTAAAACAATACAGCAGCCATAAAGTAATACCATGACCACCATTGTGAGCATCAAAACTTCACAATAGCTAGAAGAAATGAGAAGTAGAAGCCATTCATACTTTCACTTGAGTTTTGTCTTCTTAGTTACTACATTATTTAAAATATATCTCCAGAGAAACAACAATAAAATCTCATAAACAGCTACACAAAGTCAATAATTGAAAAGAAAATTCTGACAGTTAAAAATAATACTTTGAGTTTAAGTGTACAAATTTATCAAGAGAGGTTTGTCCTGCTGTTTTTAAAACATGTAAAACAACCACAGCAACTAATTTAACATATTAGACTAGGGGAAGTACCAAAAATGTATTGTTAAACAGTCTAGCAAGTTTAAAATATAAACACCTTCAACATCATGAATGTATCCTTACTAAAGTAACTGTGCAACTCCAATTACCCTATGATGCAGTCTGTTACATAGTAATCTACAGACATGTTACTGGGTGGATGTAGCTATTCACTATTCAGTTTGATCACATTTGATCATTCAAACTTTTTTCAAAATAGAAAGAGAATGCAAAACAGAAAGCTAGCAAACACTAGGTTTCTAACAATAAGGCCATATAAACCACTACCACAAGCTCAGCCTGTTAAAAGAAATACATCCACACAACCCAAGCTCGCCTTTTTTTGACCGAGTTGTCAGTATGATGAACTGCCTCACTTTGGGAAAAAATTTTGACAGGATCAGGTGCATCACAGAACTGTGAGTAATCATCAATTCCAACATCACCCTAAATACTATACAAACAACTGACTACTCTATAATGGTTTAGTTAGTTTGTCATAACTGAAAAATCTATGCAAGCACTATTTCCCTTAGTGCTACCCTGTTTTTGCTGCCAAACCTTGCCATTTTCTGAGCAATGTAACTTTTAACCTTCAAGCTTGTAAACTTGGTTTAGTCAACTTTTAAGCAAATTATAACAGTTAAGTGTAACTTTTATATTGCCAAACAAAATATATAACAGTAATAATACAATAAGTAGAGGCTATTGTTTAGTTACGATATTAATGTAACTAGATTTAAAATATTATTGTAGCAATTCTCTATAACCTTACACGAAGTGACTAACCATTGTCTTGATATTATTGTTTAGGGTTACAAATAGCTTCTAATTGTGACCAGCCTCACAAAATGCATGACATTTTTGTCCCAGTTTTAGAGTTACATCTGCAGAAACTATTTCCTATTGATAATAAAATCATCCCAAACACAGGATGTGTATCATAAATTTCCCGTATGTAACACTATTACGCCTAGCTTCAAAATCGTAGGAATTTCCAGCTATTGTTCGATTCCTTATAAAAGTACAGTTAGTTTAATTCAGTAGTTCAGAGTTTCAAGACCTGCACTTACAAGCTCAGGACCTCTTGGTCACAAAAGGCAACTCCATTGTAACCGCAAGTTGGTGACCTAATATTTGACTGAGGATTTGGCATGTCACATTTGACCTCGTTATTGTCTTAGAGTTCATGTTCAAGAAAAATACAGTTCATATGAACTTATCTCAATCCAATTGTCTAGTCTTTGCTGGAATTCTTAGTTGATTCATGTTCAAAATTTGTCTAGAGTGTAGTCAGCTTTCAGAACATTGTATTAATCTGTACCCTTCAATCACTAGACCTGTTCTGCAATACTTTAGCAGACGTGGAATGGTAGAAAGAACCTTAAGAAAGGTGCACTGCAAAATCATTTGCGCCTCAGCCTGAAACTGAAACTAGCCAATCCGTGGATTGGTGAATTTATGGTAGACATGCCTATGGAGGTGATGGACTGCATCACAGAATTTGTCCTGAACCAAAACAGCTTTGGTCACAAATTCAGTGAGACAAACAATCAATTGTCTTACAGAATATAAGATTTTCGATAAGCAAAATATCTCTTCACAAGGATGAACATCGACGGGGCTAAAGTGGACCGGAGAATATTTAAAAAAGACGACTAGAACGTGAAATGGAGAGGTGTGAGGTAATTGTTTTGGATGAGAAGCCACCGGAGTTGAAATTTCATAAGGAAAAGGAAGTTCTGAGTCAAATTTCACTATGGCTACTGGAACATGGATGGTGTGCCACAACATTAGATGTAGACTATTAGTTATGCGAGTAAATATTAAATTTTTTTACAATGCTAATTGTAGTTGATATTGTCGTGAATTATTGTTGAACTTATATTGAAGAATCACACTGTTAAAAGTTTACAATTGTAAGAAACATTGAGATGAGAGACGTCCCACGCGAGAACAATTACGTAACGAGATATATTGTTTTGTTTGTACAGTGCAGAAGTGATTTTGTTGATAGACGGACACGTGAGCCAAGTAATATAATCACATGTACATAATAGACTTTAATCAGTACCTTTTCGAAGTGAAGACGAGTGGTTACGTGAAGTTACGAAGTTTAGGTTTTTTACGATACGAATTAGGTGATGCTGTAGTAAGTACGAATCAATAAAAGGAATCAAGAAATTACGTCTCGAAGTTTACAATATGGCGCCCAACGTGGGGCGAGGACTCACTGGCTAAAAGATTCGATTGAAGAAGACAAGCGATCAGAGCGAGCGGCATCATGAGCGAAAAGGAGCTGAAGGAGAAACTAGAAAGGCTTAGAGCATCGTGAACTATTCAAAACAAGATCGAGGATTCAGAGAGGGTCCTGGAAAGGGTGGTTGAATGTCAAAAAAGCATACAAGATGCCTTAACGAAAGGGAAGATTGAATCTAGCACACAAGAAAGCCAAATCAATCCTGGCCAAGGTTTACCTGGCGTGGCTTCAACAGCAATGAATGTTCAAGCGAAAGCAAAGTTACCTAAGTTGATATTACCTAGATTTAGAGGAGATGTAACTAAGTGGACCAGCTTTTGGGACTCTTACAAGACAGCAGTGCATGAAAATATGGCAATTTCTCCTATCGATAAGTTCAATTATCTCAATTCACTCCTCGAAGGCCCTGCCTCTCGATCAATTCAAGGTTTATCTTTGACCGAAACGAATCACAAATCTGCAATCGAAATTTTACATGAGAGGTTCGAAAGAACGCAACAAATAATTTCCGCACACATGGAGGAACTGTTGAAATTGCCAAGCTGCTCGACATCCAAACATTCAAATTCTATGAGATTTGTGTACGACAAAATCAGCGTCCACATTCGTGGCCTGTCTTCACTGGGCGTTGCCTCTGATTAATACGGCGGTTTATTAATTCCAGTGGTTATGTCTAAGTTTCCCAATGAACTTCGTGTTAGAATCGCTAGAGAAACGACGAGTGCTGTTTGGAAAATTGAAGAACTGATGGATGTAATCAAACAAGAAGTTGAAGCAATAGAAGTTAGCAAGAATGTCAAAATCACCGAAGATTGAAATCAGAAACCTCCACCGTACCAAAACAAGAATCCCAAGTATCCAACCGCAAATTCCTAAGTAACCAAAGATGACCAAACAGCAAAGAAAACACCGGAAATACGATGTGTTTATTGTAACGATTTACACTATTCAGCGTCTTGCTGG